TTTCTCATTTAATCCAATCCCTCTCCCTATAGCTATAGCATTGATATTACTTCTGTGGTGAACTGAAAAAGGTCCAGATAGAGCCCAAGACTTGAAAATAGCTATAAGTTAACCTTCTGTGCTGCTAAATTTACATACTAATCACATCTGATGTTTCTGTTGCATGTCACAGTTGCAGCTAGGATGAGTCCAATTCTAGCTTTGAAGTATTTCCGTTACACATACAGACATGGTAAAATCAATACCGTACACCAAGATCAACGTAGGGGAGGGCCAATTTTGTCATTAGGAAGCAATAGCATTGAGCCACAACCTAGAACCATTGAGAAAGAGAGTTCTCCCTTATCAATCACTCAACTGAAGAACAGGAATCTTGTTTATGTACCTCTTTTATCAGATTCTCCAAATTCTACCAGAAGATCATCTTTTGGGTCAGGAACACCATTTGATTTTTTCCAGTCAGTCTGGATTGTCTTCTAGTTATTCAAGAAAAAGAGCAACTGAAATATGTGAGCAAGCATATAGGCAGCAGCATATCTGGTAGGAAAAGTTTCTGGCTAATCAAGACATGTATGAAAAGGAGCAAAAGCGCTGCCCTCCCTCCCTATCTATCCATGGGATGGAAATGGAAGGACAGAGACCTTTGGGGGGCCTCAAAATCACTAACCAATATTGCTTTTCCTTTTTTCACATGCCTGCCTTCATTCATGGCTCGATATCTGGTGTCCTAGGCGTAAAGAAAGAACACCAATCCATCCTGAACATCGTATCCTACTATTGTATTTAATTAGTTGTACATTTTTTTTCCTGAAAGGTAAAAAGAAATGTTTGCAATTGAACCATCCAGGATTTTGCTTTACTAAAACAAATAACATTGTCCTTTCGTAACCTGTATTTCTTTATTTTTTTTTTTCCAATGCAATTGATGACTTCTCATGGAATTAATAACAAATTTACACTGCCATTATACTACGTTTTCATTTCTTCCTTTGGGTCCTTTCTTGGGTGATTGTCGGTTTCACATGTGCAACGATATCTCGGAAGGAATGATGTCCAGGTAGTGGGAGTTAATTGTTGAGCATTACGTGGATTTCAATTCCTAATATCTGTTGCCACAAAATTAGACTATTTAATTATATGTATTAATTCAACTGAGCATTTATTGGTAAGGAATGATATAAATTGTTGAACAAGGAGTTGTTGTAAGTAAATTTAGTTTTGACTATGATATATACTACGATTATTAAAGTTATTATCAAGGTAATTTTTTATAAATTTTTTAACTTTGAAGATTTCATTATAATAAATATAAAATTAATTGTGATTTAGTCTCCCAAGTGGTCACAATGAACAATTAAGAAAGTAGTCCTTCTAGGGCTCTCCAGACAGGTAAAAGATCTACATTTTCAATGGGGTCATGCCCTATCTAAGGTGGATCCCCTTGATGGTGTGAGGCCATACCTAAGGTGAGGTGAGTCACAGGCAAAGGACAGTATGGGTCTCTATGTTTGTACCCATGGCCATGATCATGACATTCAAATTCCCAACAAATCAAATGAAAATTATGAGCTCGAAAAGGTCAAATTGGGCAGACGGGGACCCCTAAGAGCCCTATCTAAGGTCATTTTAGCATGGGGCTTGGGACATTCACCACCTAACACTAACACTGCCAAAAAAGCTCTCCTTCAGGCTTCAAGAGAAAAAAAAAAGGTAATATTCCAAGCATACCCTTATGGGTCATTAATTTGCCCACCACCACAGCTGTCTTTCAGATAAGAATACCTCCTAGGAAGCATATGGTATGCTGTAATACAGCACCTACATATTATTACATTCCCCTCTTCCTTTCTGCCTCTTTTCTTGGGTAAACTTTTAAGATTCCGGTAAGGTTTCTAACACATTGGAAAAAATTAATAGCAGTGTTTTACTTATTTTTCTTTTAAGTATATCTATTTTTTTTTTTTTTTTATATTCTCTGTTAAGCTTTCCACCTCTTCTTTTTATGTAATTTTTTTATTATTTTTAAAGTTTTTTATGTATAGTTTTTTTTTATGTGTTTTATTTCTGTTGTATTTTAAATTAAATTTATAAAAAATTATTTTTTCATTAACACGAGAATAAAATTAAATTCGATCTATATACCAAATAAATCCTAATTAATTACCAGATATAGCTGTGTAGCCCACTTAATAAATGACAGCAAAGACAGATGTATCCCTTCCAACCATCCCAAGATCTAATCCAACCAACAGTACATTATGATTTAACTAAAAATGGTTATTAAATTAACCCAATATAATCAGGAGAACATGCATTGAAAAAATAACTTCACCTAACCCTAACCACCTCTATCCATCAATATAATCTGCCCCATATTACCAAAAAAATTCACCTTCACATTTCATATACTTAAGAGTTTCAAAATGATATAATTATAAGAACAAGTAATAATATATATTTATAATCATATTGTGTCATTATATATTGACTATGAAAAATAATTAATACATATTTGGTTTAACATGCTTTTTGATATTCATCTCAATTCAGTTATTAAAGTATAATATAAATATAACTAAT